CCCAGGCCGCGGGGCCCCGCCAGGGAGGGCCGAGACGGCCGCCCCTCCCCGCCCCGCCCTCCAGCGCCTGCCTCCGCCTCCGCGCCGGACCCCTCGCGGGGGCTCCCTTTCCCACTCCGTGCCTCTTCGCGGCCCCCAACTCCCCTGACGCCCCCAGCCAATCCACCCGGGACTCTCGCTCCCTGCAACTCTGTTTCTCCGCCGCCACTCCCTCCAGTGTAGACTCGACCCTGACCTTCGGAGGCCCACCCCGCCGAGGATGCCCCTCTATTCCCGCCGCCGCCTAGCTCGCGGATGGCTGCTTTTAGCCTCCGCACGCGACGCTCCAGAGGCTGGGACGCACATGAATTCCCTGGGGGTCCTTGCCCAGGACTGAAGTCCCACGGCCGGAAGCCTCCCATGACCCCATCTCTAACTCTTGGGACTCTCATGCAGACACATCACCCTTCGTTTGCCAGACTTCGGCAGAACCTGGGGCTCAGAGGGCCCGGGCCCACCTAGGGTAGAGCTGAGGCAGAAAGATCCAGGGATTCCCTCAGCCCCCCAGGGGCTCGCCGGCTCTCCTTCCCCTCCCATCGCCTCTGGGCTCGACAATGGGCTCCAGTGTGCGGCCCGAAGAGGGCGTGGGCAAGGGGGAATTAGGGAGCAGTGAAGGCTTGGGTAGGGGGTGGACATCGTGGTTGAGGGGTGCAGGGTCTCCGGATCGGGATCTCCCTGTGGGGACGTGCGCTTCGGCGGACTTTTTCTGAGTTCACTCCTCGCTGCCTCTTGCCCCCCGCATCCCCTGGCTCTCCCTCTTTGGCTAGAGGAGGGGAGGTTCCCAGTCAGACCCTATGATTCCATACTGGTCTCCAAGCCCTTCGTCTTTATGGGATGGCGATTAGAGTCTTCCTGGGCCTCTAGGGCTCATGGCGGTGGGAATGCGTATCTGGCCCAGCAGACAAAGGGGGATAGGCTAGTTAAGTTCTAGCCTCACTCCCTCTGCCTCGCAAGCCCAGGGCATCCTCCACCGCGTCAGGATGGAAATGTGGGCCAGACGGGGCGTCTCCCAGGAGGGCTGGGGGAGCAAAGGGACAGCAGGGAGATGCCATGCCCCTCTTCTCAGGCACCCGGAAGCCCTGAAGCGCGGTGGGCTCTTCCAAAGGTCCCACACTTTGAGGAGGAGATGGGAAAGCCCAAGAGTCCCCAAGAGGAGTGTGAAGGCAAGTGCCACTGCGGCTGGGTGATGAGGATTAGAAAATGTCCTAACGGTGGATGCAGTTCTTAAGAGACCCGGAGGCCGGGAGGAGGGGAGGCGCGGGCGTTGCCAGAGTGACCGGTTCTTCTCTCACTCTCACTCTCTCACCTCCTCAGGACGCTCCACTCCACCCTTTCCCCACTCCG